AGCAAGGGTGGAAGGTCAAGTAAAAAGTGGATGGATAGGGCAACCTCAGGTTGTTTTGTTTTGTTTTTGGTGCTGGTGCTTGAACCCAGGACATTGCACATGCTAAAGCACACACTCTATCACTGAGCTTCACCTCCAGCCCAACCTCAGTTTTTGTAGCTCGAAAATAACCATAACAAGATGCCTAAATGACAGTGGGAAGCCGAGCACGGGAAGTTAACTGATGAGCAATACAGGCTGCAAACCTGAAGAACAGGGAGAAGATTTCATTGGGCTGTTCAAAGGATTAAGTAGCTTGTATTTTGACAAGACTTTGGTATTGTTGGAGGAAGGAGTTAAGACATAACACCCATTTSCTTATGTCCTCCTCCAGAAGTTTTAAAGAGGTCTATAGATAGATGAAGATATAGTTTATGAATAAAATATTGCAGAATAATTATTATCAATGTCATTAAAAAATCTGCTACAAGTGCRTGAGAAGGTTTTCAAATTACTCTGTCTAGATAGCAGTTGCAGGCAGGAAGAGCCAGTTTGTACTCAGCAGTCTCAAGGTACAGAGGAGAATCCTGACCATTCACTTGCTTACCTTTCTTTATGGGTTATTACTATTTCCTCTTAGGACTATTTTCCTCTAAATTTTTGACTGGGTAGAGTTATGTGTAGGGTAGCAATGATTTGGAGGATGACCAAGCCAAGGTCTTCCTATTTCTTGCTGACTTACATTGATATATTCAAGACAAGATTTTTTTTCAGATGGGTTTATTGAGGTACGAGTGACATGGAAAATGTGGAACATGGTATATCCCCATGCAGGACATGTCACTAGACATGTCCATCACCTCTCAGTTTCCTCCTGCCCCTATTACTATCATTATTGTTGTTGTTTGCAGTGTTAAAAATACACCCATCCCTCTATGCAACATTCAAGTGTATAATACAGTATTGGCAGCTACAGGCACTGGGTATATAGTAGATCGTCTGCACTTACTCATCTTGTGTAACTGAGACTTTGTATTCTTTGCCCACCAACCCTCAGCCCCATCTTGGGGTTCACATTCTGTCTTCTACTTCAATAAGTTGGACTGTTTTAGATTCCACTTGTAAGTGACAGCATTGGTATTTGTCTTTCTGTGTTTGACTTATTTCACTTAACATCTTCCAGGTCCATCCATATAGTCACAAATTGAAGGATTTATATTTTTAGGGCTATTCCATTTTATACACACACACACACCACATTTTCTTTATCCATTTGTCAACAGACTTCTTGGTTCTCTCTCTCTCTCTCTCTCTCTCTCTCTCTCTCTC